ACCACCACCATAGACAATGTTATAAATGGTAGTAATTTCTACCTCTAAGCAATGATACAGATTGCATAGTTCCAGAGATTCAGTCAGCATTTTAAAAAGTTTTTTGTAGGATGGCTTGAAATTTAACCGTTTCTAAGCATTTTTTTTTTTTTATGGGAAAAAATGTATCCTGGAATAATTAGCCAAAAAAAAAAAAAAATTGAAACACATTCTATTAATAAAATAGGATACTTCCTCTTTACAACAGAGGTAGTCTTTGAAGGCATTTTTCAATGCAAGTTTAGCTCTTGTTTTCATACCAAGTTTGCCATTGCCTGTGTACTGTCTGGAGGTCCCTCCATCAGCCAGCCACACATCAGAAAGGTAAGATAGTAAACTCACCTAACACTACACTTGTTAACTGTTGAATTGGTCCTGAGGCATAGCAACCCTGAGGCCGTAAATCTTTGTGGGAGCAGAAAGCCTCATCTTTATCCTTGTGATTGGCTGATGGGTTTGAACCACCAACCTTGCAGTTCACAGTCCATACTTATCTCCAGAGCCACTTCACTTACCCTCTCTAACCACACTTTAAACTTAAACAGTACAGACTACTATTGCTTTCCGGAAAACAACGCTCACAGACATTTTCTCTCTGCCTGGAAGGCACATTCCTTCCTTGTCTACCTGGAAAAACCATGCTCATTCTCTAGCTCAACATTCACCTCCTCTGTGACGCTTCTCTTGACTCTCCCTCACTTGGACATTGTTCTTCTCCATCAGTGCTCCACTGCTTTCTGAACATTCTTTGCATATACAGCTCTCTGATTGTTTGTGAATCTGAGATCTCAGCAGGCTGTTAACCCTCTGAAGAGACAAGCACCAAAACAGATAACCCTGTTATCTGGTATCTGTCTGCTCTGAAGAAGTGAAATATGATTTTCTACAGGCAACGTTATGACCGGTGGTTGATTTCTAGCTCTAAGTGATGGGATGGATGTTGGATACAGCCTGACACAATAAACATGCTCAGTGAATAATTAGTAATGAATACATGAATGAATTAATAAATATGTGTTGTTGTTGTTGTAAGTGCTGTCGAGTCGGTTCCGACCCATCGTGACCCTGTAGAGATTTCCGAGAAGCGGTTGGTGTACTTGAACCGCTGACCTTGTGGTCCAAATCGACTTTGCAGTCCAGCTCATTAACCCACAGCGCCACACCGGCACTCCACCCCAAGTTAATTACCTCTTCAGGCCCAACTATTACTCTTTGACAGGCAGTCTTATGAAATATCTCTCTACCTTTTACAAAAATGAATGTCATCAACGGGACAAACGAGAAAGAGAAAGGGGAAAAGTAACAGAAGTTGAGAGGGGAAAAAATTAAGACCAAAATCTAAAAAGTATTAATAAAACAGCAAATCAATTTAAAATAAAAAACAAAACGAGAAGAATTCATTAGAGAATCTTTTATCTAAATAATGGTGAGCGGTAGAATCTAAAAACAGTTGCTGCAGGTATTCCTGTATGGGAAGTGTTTCAGAATTTCTTCCATGATTGGAGGCCCGTGTCCCTATGGGGAGGTAGAACTGCCTCTGGCTGCAATTCCACACATTGGCCAGCAGAGGGTAGCCCCAAATACTGCATGCATTTTTCCTCAAAGTTTCCCTCATATTTCAGATAAATATGAAACTGGCATTTCTTGTGTCTAGAGGTAGAATATGGAAGGTGGTGGGTTAATTCTTTAGTAACGCATGGGAACATTTTTGGATGTTTTCATTTGATGCTCTAAGCTAAGGAGCATCCGCTGAGTTTGGTTGGAAAAACAACTGCAGTTAGAACTAACGCTGAAGACGCAGTATTATATACCAAAAGTTGTACTAAGTGACTCACCAGCATATTTAAGCATCACAAAAATTCCGTGAGGATATACTATTTTATCAGTCCCCATTTTTATGTTTAAAAAAAGAAACAACAACTCTAAACTTTAGGTAATTTAAGTAACTTGTAGAGTTTATAATCAAACCATGTTATATAAGCTCCCTCACAGAACAGTCTCAGACTTCAACTGCCACGATTGTGTGTAGTTTGAACCACAATGCTGTGGCTGGTTGATCTCAATTTGTTGTATTCTGGGGCCCAACTTGGCTTCAGGCAAAGGGGCTTTGGGGAAAGAATTAAGTGGAAAGAGACAAAAAGGGAAGGACATTCAAGAAGTTATTATTTTGAAATCATAGCTTTACAACTATATTTACAACATGAAAGGAAAGTATGATATAATTAGATCCTTAGGGGTGTTTTTTAAGTGTGTATGCTAGATTTCATTGACTTTTCCTCCCTAAAATATGATTTGCCATCATTGTTTGTGTTGTCTGCTGTATTTATTAAACTTTCCTCAACATGGCCTCCATTGTAATATATGAGGAAAGTGTGTTTATAGTAATATAATCCTATTTAGCCACAACTGAGCTCCCTCACAGCTCTCTAAGACTGGTTATGATCGGCATCAACTGAAAGATAAATATTAGGAGATGAATGAGGAACAAAATCAAGATATTTTTAGTTCACTTCAATAAATATTTGTGAATGTTGACTATGTTGCCAAGCATTGTGCTAAGCACAGAAGTTAAATGTCATTTAAGACTCAATCCCTAACCTCCAAGAGTTCTCCTACCTAGCTTGGAGAAACAGACACATAAATCAATGACCACAGGGCAGTATGATAAACCCTATCATAAAAATCTATATAAAGTGCCAAGGTGACAGAGAAAAGGACAGCTTTCTGGGTCTCCCACTAGACAGTGGATTATGATTTAAAGTTTACTTTGTGTTTTCAGAGTTTAGATTTATGATGAGGTGATGGATAGCTCAGGTTAGTTTGGAATCTTGCATGAAACCCTGGCATCATATAATGGAAGAGGACACAGAATTCTGACTTCGACTACTTAATTCTAGTACAATGCTGCTGTAGTCAGTATGTCAACAATGAACACACATCTTGTTGTTGTTGTTAACTACTGTCAAGTGAGCCCTGACTCATGGCAACCCCATGCACGACAGAACAAAATGCTACGCAGTCCTGTACCACCTCCATGATGGTTGAAGAATGGATCATTGTGATGAATAAGATTTTCATCGGCTGATTTTCAGAAGTACATCATCAGATCTTTCCTCCTAATCTGTATTAATGTGGAAGCTCCCTTGAAACTTGTTCAGCATCATAGCAACATACGAACCTCCACTGACACATGGGTGCATTGGCCATGATCAAATAGGTCTCTAGCATGCTGTTGTTAGGTGTAATTGAGTCAGTTCTAACTCACAGTGATCCAATGTACAAGCAAATCAAATACTTCCTGGTCTAGCACCATGTTCCCAATCATTGTTATGTTTAAGCCCACTGTTGCTGTCACTGTGTTGGATCCCTCTCTTTGGGGGTCTTCCTCTTTTTCTATGGCCCTCCACTTTACCAAGGATGAAGTCCTTTTCCATGGACTGTCCTCTCTTGATAATATATCCAAAGTACCTGTAATGAAGTCATTCTATGCTCAGTTCTAAGGAACATTCTGATTATATATTTCTTCCAAGACATTTGTTTGCTTGTCTGGCAGTGCATGGTATTCTTTGCCAACACCATAACTCAAATGTGTCTGTTTGTCTATGGTCTTCCTTATCTATTGTCCAGCTTTAACATATATATGACACAATTGGCAATGCCATGGTTTAGGTCAGACACACCTTAGTCCTCAAAGTGACATCTTCGCTATTGAACACTTTGAAGAGGTCTTGTGCAACAGGTTTGCCTAATGCAATACTTCCTTTGATTTATTGACTACTGCTTCCACGACCATTGATTGTGGATCCAAGTAAAATGAAATCTTTGATAACTTTAATCTCTTCTCCATTTATCATGATGTTGTTTACTGGTCCAGTTTGAGGATTTCTATGTTCTTTACGTTGAGTTGTAATATTTACTGAATATTGTATTCTTTGATCGTCAACAGCAAATGCTCTAAATATTCTTTGCTTTTAGCACACAAGGTTGTGTCATTTGCATATTGCAGGTTGTTAATGAGTCTTCCTCCAATCCTGACACCATGTTTTTCATACAATCTAGATACCTGAATGGAAGACAAGAATCTTACCACTGAACTTCATCATCCCCAACGTGCATTTCACAACACGTAAAATACTCCAACAGCCAATTTGTAACAATAGGAAAGGGATTGGAATTGAAAGTCAAATACATCTATGAGATAAATGAAAAATACTTTATCAAGAAATAAATCATCAGAATAATTTCATTATCTAGCTAGAAATACCACTGAAGAAAGTAATTTCATTAACTGTCTCATTTTACAGCTGTAGAAACATCTGGCAGTGAACTATGATCTTTTTTTTTCTTCAAATGTTATACAGCTCATTAATGATAGAGCTGTGGTAAAAACCCTCAGAAAATCGGTAGGCAGTGTAGTGAGTAACTCTGCCTATAAACTCTGTAGTTGGCCACTTGGAGTCAAATTCTGTCTCTACTACATACTGTCTGAGTCATGTTAGGCAGGATATTTGGACTCTCTGTCTTTCATTTTCCTCAACTAAAATGGGTATTATTCTATAGTATCTACCACATATAAAATGAGAGTGTATAAAAGCACTAATTAAGACTAAAACAAGGTAATGCATATTAATCTGGGACTTACTAAGATTGATAAATGTTCTTTATTATGCTTCATGTGATTCCTGGCTGTAGGATCAGCAATAAACTGTAACCACAAGGTCAGCAGTTCAAATCCACCATCTGCTCCTCAGAAACTCTGTACAGGGTCACTAAGAGCCAGAACCAACTCGACAGCACTTAACAGCAACAACATGTACCTTAGTTTCTACAGTATATTCTCTCTATCACAGCACAGCTAGTGAAATGAGGTTTTGTTCATTTTTGGATCCCTGACGCAGAAAGAAGTCTCTCTTTTTAGATCTGTACACTCATATTGCGTTCTCTTTGATCTTTTCTTTCAGGGCCAAGGAGATTAAGATCAAGTTGGGAATTCTCCTCCAGAAGCCAGACTCTGCTGTTGACCTTGTCATTCCATATAATGAGAAGTCGGAGAAACCAGCCAAGACCCATAAGTGAGTCACAAGTATGGATTCCAGTCATTTCTTCAAGAGGAAGGCCATCATTCAAGTGTAGGGCACCAGCTTCCTATAGCCATTCACTGAGGATCATAGGGACCCTCAGCAAGTGGGTTGGGAAATAGCATTTCTTGGGTAGGCGTGTCTGGAGTGTAATACTGACTAGCAGACTATGTAAAAGAGAGCGTCCTGCCTTGGCACATAGTGAAACAATGACTTATAAATGGCATCGGCACTTCAGCTGCAATGAACTCACCTGTTCATTTGCTGCCCTTGAGTTACCATTTCTGAATCACTTAACTGTGATCATTGAATGCTCATCTGCTAAGAACCCATCTATTTGGGCAAGGTGCAAAACTATGATGCTAAAGAATCAAGAGGTCAGCATGGTTAGTTAAACTCTCACAATGTGCATTGGCTGGATAGTGGTTTCTGTTATTAAGTGCCATCCAGTCAATTCTGATTCAAAGCATTCGTGTATGGGGTTTCTGAGGAATGGCTGGTAGGAATGGCCAGAGTTTAAGTTATTATTACTTCTGACAGCATTCCCATGTTTTCTGTTGTTTCACTAGCTCCAAGCCTATCTGCTTATAAACAGACATCCCATCTTTCCCTTAAAATGGGTACTCTTGAAAACCAAGAAAAGGGCATGGGAAGAAGAAAAACCAAATATATTCAAACTCTTTTACTGCCAGAAAGCTTTGAGGAGATGACAGATGTATGATGAAAGGACAAAAGTTGCTTTTAGCCTCCATTTTTCCTTTTACCTATTTAACGTTTGTCTTCAGTGACCAACCCTTTGTTCCAAGTGACCTTCAACTTAATATTGACTGGATTGGATGGGAGATAGAGAGATGCAGTATTATTTTTTAATCTTCTTCCACCAGCCTAAGTGGATATTTCCATTCTCCTCTTTTTAGTACTTCAATGTGATCCCAAATGGAAGAGATGCATAATTATGTTTTCTGCACTTAAAAAGGGATTCCATGTGGATTGACAGGCATCCGGCCATAGTGAAGAATGAAAGCCACATTTTATAGCAGTTATAGATCAAAAGTCTACTTCAGAGTAAACAATGTGATAGTTATTGATCTGTTGGAATTCACATTTTAAAAAATGAGCATAGTACTACATTTCCTGCTTTGATTCTCTGCTTCTAACATCTTACAGACTCTTCAACTATTTGACTTAACAGGGATTTAGAGAGAAGCTGTTTTGGAAGAAAAACTGAGCTAACCTTTATTGAATTATCTGCTTTAAAAAAAAAAAAAAATCCCATCCACTTTCTCCTTCCAGAAGTTTGAATTGATTTGGAAAATCCTTCATCTCCCTCAAGAATCTTTGCATGTCTCTACAGCATTTTTAGCAGTAATCACTACAAACTTTTCCCACCATCTTCTGAACACTCAAACCCCATCCCACCTCCTTATGCTGGGCATATTTCTGTCTCTTCCTGACTGAGGAGGATTATCTTTCCAAATATTTCTCTGTATATTTTATTCATGGTTTTCCTCTCATAGAAGAAAATAAACCTTAGAAGAGAAAATAAGTGTTCTCCTGACTGAAGATATTTTAGCCCCTCTCATCTTCTCTGATGGAGCCTGGTAGCTTAGTGGGTTATGGGTTGGACTGTTAACAACAGTAGTTCGAATCTCCTAGCAATACCTTGGTATAATGATGAGGCTTTCAGATCCCATAAAGATTTATAGCCTCAGAAACCTTATACTAGATGGTTATGAGCCAGAACTGACTCCATGGCCTGCAACTCCCATCACCACTGTCTTCTCTGGGTCATCGGCATCACTAGAAACCCCTTTTAAAAATGCATTTTTCATTTTTAATACGTTTTAGTCTTCTCATTAGAGAAATAAGAGGCAACTGAGAAAAATAGGAAACAAAGTAAACAACAATAGGAAAACCCTCCTATATCCTATCCCTCCCAATGCCCTTGTTGTTGTTTGTTGTTGTTGTTAAGTGCCATCGAGTCGGGTCCGACCCATAGCGACCCTGTACAGGGTTTCCGAGGGTGTAAATCCTTACGGGAGTAGAAAGCCTCTTCTTTCTCCCGCGGAGCGGCTGGTAGTTTCGAACCGCAGACCAATTCGTAACCACTACGCTACCAGAGCTCCCAAGGCCCTGGGGGACACAAATGGTTAAACAATGTACTATTAACAAACCCACATAGGGCCCCTAGGAAGTAAGGCCTGGCAGCCTGTTTCTAATAGGTCACAGCTTTGAAAACTCTGTTATGGAGTACAGTTCTACTCTGCACACATGAGCTTGCTGTGAGCAGCAACACTAAATATCCATACTACCCCAAGACGGAGTCCTGGTGTGGCATTGTGGGTTAATGCACCAGAATGCAAAGCCATTTGAACTGCAAGGTCAGTGGTTAAAGTTCACCAGCTGTCCTCAGAAACCCTATACTGGGTTGCTATGGGTTGTAATCAACTCGACAGCACTTGACAACAACAACAACAACCCCAAGTCAGCTTCTGCTATCATTTTAGTATTCCTTACTGTTTTTTGTCCTTCTGCATTTTCTCTGGACCCTCTTCTACTAGGAACAAACAAATACCCATATTGCACTCTGAAAAGTCATTCCTTTGCTCTCCTAGTCCTTCATCCCTCCTGCTCCTATCCTTTTTCCTTGCTTTCGATGGCAACTCTAGAAATAGAAGTCAGTATACCTTTTTTTCTAGCACCTTCTTTACCTCCTTCCTATCAGGTTTAGGAGTCACTTGGTGTTGATTGAACAAGTTAAATCAATCAGCTGCCAACTGAAACGCTTGAGATTTTACCCCACCAAGAAGAGCTTCGGAAGTAAGGTTTGGTGATCTGAAGCTGACAAAAAGTCTGTCACCGAAAACTCTGTGGAGCCCAGTTGTACTCTGACACACATGAGGTTATCATGAGTCAGAATCTACTCAATGGTACACCCCCCTCACCCCCCAGCAACCGCCCTACTGAGCTGCTGCTGTCTGTAAGTTTTCAAACATCTGTCTGCAGTGTTTGACTTTGCACAGCACTCTGGCTTAAACGTCTCTTCTCTGACTTCCAACACTGTCTCTCCCTTATCTTTTCTCTAAACCATCCATAAGGGTATGCCATAGGTCCTTAAAGAAAGAATAAGGAAAGAAATTGATAAGCCACCTAATCTTATTTTGTAAAAACTGCTATCATGGATCAAATTCAAAAGGCTCAGGAGCTGATATGGATATTTTTATAGTTTGATTTATTACCCAGATAGTCCCTTTTACCTGCCTGAATAACCGATTTTTACTTCTATTTTATTTTGCCTTTTTACCTCTTTCTACCTCTAACCCCTCCCTCTAAGAGTTCATAGCCTGTGCACAGTGGAGAACAATTACTAAGTATCTTCACAAGCATACTCCTGCTTCATTATCTGCAAACAGAATGTTGTTGAAAAGATTAAACATGAACGTATGCAGACCCCAGCACTCACTGGCCAATCTTAGTTGTGTTGAACATTCCTAAACCAGCTATTACTGACTTCCCACACATACTAAGGGCAGCTACAAATTATATTGGTGCTTTGTATCCCTACAAGATATTTGTGAGTCATTTTCAAAATCAGAGCGTCTGTGTGTGAAAGTCATGCATGTGTCAAAGTGAGAAAATTTTTAGATGGTGGTTGCCAGGGGCAGGAGGAAAAGGAATAGGGAGGCATTGTTTAGGAAGCATTACATTTCTATACATGCTTATGGCAAATGTGGCAAGGGACATTGGTGATGGTTGTGAATATGATTAATGTAATGTTATTGTTAAGTGCCCTCAACATGATTCCAACTTATAGCGACCCTGTATAGGGTTTCTGAGGAGCAGCTGATGGGTTTGGACCATTGACCTTTGTGGTCCACAGTCCAGTGTTTTTCCTGTAGCACTGCACCAGAAGTCCAATTAATGTAATTGTTGTTGATAAACACCATTGGGTCAGTTTCAACTCAGAGCGACCCTGTATAGGGTTTCTGAGGAGTAGCTGGTGAGTTTGAACTGCCAACCTTGTGATTTAAACAACCTTGTAGTCCAGTTCTTTATCCCACAGTGCCACATTAGTACTCCAATTAATGTAATGGATGTCATTAAATTGTATACATGAGAAATATTAAATTGGCAATGTTGTGTTATATATAGTTTTACAACAACACAATATTTCAGAAAAAATAAAAATGTATATACAAGTTTTTGCCTACAATGTCTGGGTACCATCTAGTTCTTCTGGTCTCAAGGTCATGGAAATGGATGTTCATGTGGTCCACTAGTCCACTGGATTGTTTCCATGTGCCTTTAGATTTTCTTCACTCTTCTTTCCTCCAAATAGGGAGACAATGATACTTGCACCTTGGATGACTTAACAAGTTTTTAAGACAGAGCTCCATTATAAATGCCAATCACTAACTTGAATAGGAGCTCTGGTAGCATAGTGGTTACAAATCAGGCTGCTAACCTTGGGGTCAGCAGTTCAAAACTACCAGCTGTTCTTAGGGAGAAAGATGAGGCTTTCTGCTCCCGTAAAGATTTACACCCTCAGAAACCCTGTACAGGGTCGCTATGAGTCAGAACTGACTCCACGGCACATAACAACAACAAAAACAACTTGAATAAGTTCTCTTTTGTGGAAAGAGGGAGAGCATGTGAGGACATTATCAAGAGTGTTTAAATATGCGCCAGGCACTGTGCTAACTTACATATCAACTCATATAAATTCATTTATGTGAATTTGCTGTCATGCTGTTAAGTGTCACTGAGTTGGTTCCAACTTACAGAGACAGTATAGGGTTTCCAAGGAGTGGCTGGTAGATTTAAACTGTCAACCTTATGGTTCACAGTCCAATGCTGATCTTACAGCACCACACTAGGAGTCCTTATATACATTACTACATACAAGTCTCACAATACATGTATCAGCACTATAGAAGAAGCTCTGGACTGGAGATTAAAGTCTACCCGCTTCTCCTTAGAAACTCCTACACAAGATTGCTCTGAGTTGGAACTGATTCAATAGCACTTAACAACAACAACAACAAATATTTCTTTGTAGATTAAGGTAAAGCAAAACTACAACAAAAACACCCGGTGCTTAGAGAGGTTAAAACACTACCATGGTTACAGCTAGTGAGTGTCAGAATTGCCAATAACTGTAGTTCATGTAGCTCGTGAGACTGACCACTGAAATCTAGGTGTTGTGGCATTCATCAACAAGGCAAATTCTAGATGATAGGAGCCATCATTCATTTGCTCTTTCCTTTGGCATGTCTTTATTGCAGTGTGGACCAGTGCTATGGAGGATTCCCCATAGGATAGAATAGATTGGGAAAAACTCTCCAGGACAGATAAGCTATAGCCTTCAGAAGTGTGTGCATCATTGCCATGTGAGAGATTCAGGGAATAAATATGTGATGACAGTATAGCAAAGGGAGGGCATTCTTCCAGCTAAGAAGATCACTTCCTGGACCACTGGCGTTTACATGGAAGCTGTCAAACTTATAGTTAATTTTCTCTGTAAGTGTTCATTTTGCCTTTTATTTGTACTGGGTTTTCCCTCTCCCCAACAGACCTACCCATACAGACTCCATGTCCACTTTGAAAACCAGGATACTGATTGGTCATTTAATTTGCATCCATCCTGTTTGCAAAGAAGTCAGGTTTAATGAGAGCTGGCAAATTCTGAGAATCAGGGTAGCATGAACCTGCGTTACCTCCTCAGCTGGTAATCAGAACTCTGGGCTTCATGCTGAGGAGAATGTATCCTGCTTGGTTGTGTCCTTTAATCAATTTGGGCTAATTTAACCCCCAAGCGGGTTCTGCACATGTCCTTTACAGGAATTTAATCGTGGCTGTGATGTGCTGTTGAGATTGACCATTAGTCTGCTTCTAACAAGGCCATTTGGGACAAATTAAATCTGGTAACAAACTTAAGCAGGGTGCACCTGCTCATGTCATTTCCTCTTCCTGTGTTCCTTTATGCTAAGCAGGAGGAAAAAGGTGATGGAGAAGAAAGGCATCTTCATTTCATGAGATTATTTATAAAATCAGAAAGAGACAGTGAGGAAACCGGAATCTTCCCTTGCTCTGAGCTAATGTTTTGTTGTTGTTTAAGAATTTAATGTCCTGCCACTTCTGGCAACAATTACTAGGGACTACTAGAGTCCTGGTGTGGCGCTGTGGGCTAATGTGTCATAATTCAAAGTTATTTGAACTGCAAGGTTGGTGGTTCCAGCTCACTAGCTGCTCCTTGGAAACCCTATACAGATTTGACTCAACGACACTTAACAACAGCAGCAACAACTGGAGTCCAGGTGTGGCACTGTGGGATAAAGCACTGGACTACAAGGTCAGTTTGAACCTCAGGTTGGCAGTTCAAATTCACCATCCACTCCTCAGAAATCCCATACAGGGTCACTATGGGTCAGAACCGACTAGACAGCACTTAACCACAAACAACACTGTGTGCTAAATATTTAACCCAGTGTTGTAAAGAATTTAAGATGTGTAAAGCCAAGAAGCTCTGGTAGCATAGTGGTTATGAGTTGGGCTGCCAACTCAAGGTCAGCTGTTCTGCAGGAGAAAGATGGGGTTTCTGCTCCCGTAAAGATTTATAGCCTCGGAAACCCTGTACAAGGTCGCTATGAGTCGGAACCAACTCCATAGCACATAACAACAACAACAAAGCCAAATGCTGGAGGCCTCGTGTGGCTCTGTGGGTTAATGCGTTAGACTGCAAAGCTGGTTTGAATCACAAGGTTAGAGGTTCAATTTCACCAGCTGCTCCTTGGAAACCCCATACAGAGTCGCTATGGGTCGGAACCAACTGAACAGAATTTAACAATAAAAAAGCCAAGTGTTACAAATATTGTTGTTGTTGTTAAGTGCTGTCAAGTTGATTCTGACCCATAGCGACCCTATATAGCATTTCCAAGGAGAAGCTGGTGAGCTTGAACCACTGAACTTGCAGTTCAAAGGACTTTGCATTCTGACACATTAGCCCACAGCGCCACACCAGGACTCAGTTACAAATAGTAGGTATAAAGTAATATGTACATAAGAAAACATGTCATTGTAAGATCACATGTTAGTTGTTGTTAAGTGTGCTTGAGTCAGTTCTGACTCACAGCTACCCTGTGTAGGGTTTCCAAAGAGCAACTGGTAGATTTGAACTGCCGACCTTGTGGGTTAGCTGATCCTATAGCGCCACACCAGAAGTCTATGAGATTATATAGAAGAGCCCAAAAGAGTTTTCGACCTCTAGAAAACAGGTCGTTTTCTAGATTTTAGGAACAAAACTACTCAGAAGAGCATTAAGGACATATTTGACATCCCCTATTCTTGTTATTTCTCCTTTCTGTGCTCTTTTATATAAACCTGAAGGAAATGGAAGACCAAAGATATTCACTCATTAAAAATAAGAGTTCCTGGGTGGTACAAATTGTTAATTTTGTAAGAGTTTTCAGACCACCCACAGGTACCTTGGATGAAAGCCCTAGTGATCTGCTTCTGAAAGATCAGCCCTTGAAAACTCTATGGAGCATAATTCTACTCTTGACACTCATGGCTTCATCACTAGTCAAATTTGACTTGAAGGCAATCGTTCGCTTGTTTTTAATTAGCAACACATTTTCAAAGAATTAATCTGTTGAGTTTCCAATCTTTGATGCCTCTATTTCTAATCAGGAAAACAAAACAAAACAAAAAACACCAAAATTTATTTCACCAAGTTTATTGTTTGCATTTTTGCTACATTTAATCTTCAACTAGGGAAAGCATAAAACTATGAAAAATCACACAAGCTCTGTACATGCTCTAGAGAAACTTATTCATAATATGCTAACCTAAACGCCCACTGCCGTCTTAAACTCCTTACATAAGGAGGCTGAATCCAAGCATCAGACAGCAAAATGAAAAGTAGAATTAGCAATTGTCTTATCAACCTTAGTTGCTAATCTGAATAATTAAAGCCTCAAGATACTAATTTTTAGCAGCCAGAAGCAGCATCACCCCTCAGTTGTCTGAGCAGTTGTAAAAACAAGAGCTAAGGAAAATTCCAAGTAGGAAAAACACCTCCAGTGACCTTAATATTCTAATAAATGCCTTGTTAGTTTGTTTTGATTTGTCATTGAAAAATTCACATCCAAATGCAGGCGTTTGAGTAGGGTGAGCTCCATAGAGCACAGTCAGCCGTTTTTCCCAGACAAGACCAGCTCGATTTGACACAATCCTGCTGTGAGTGAAAAATTGATGCTTACTACGGAATAGCTGCAGGGTTTCTGCATATATAAATGTTCAAATAAAGACAGCCTAAGGGTTGAAATTATATGTTAACTATTTCCTTCTCCTTTTAAATCAGCATTTGTGTACAGCATTCCTGTTTGCAATATATTAGCCACTTTTCTTTTCAGAAAGAGGTTTGTTTTTTTTTAAACTTCTTTTTCTGTCCTTACTGGTAAGTACAAACTCCCCCAGATTTCTTTTTTAAAATGTAAGTTTTCCATGATCACATTCACAGTAAGAGACAGTAGCATTCCACGGACCATCTTCCACAGACCTTAAAGAGATGACCTTGAGATGTGGATGAAAAGTCAAATGAGCATCATTGATTAACTCAGGTGGTTAGAGTGTGGCATGGCTGAGGTAGAAAATGTAAGTTCATTCAGTGCCTTTAATGGGCTTACAGATCTCATTAACTTCCTTTTGGAAAAAGGCCACAATCAAAGCCAGTCTGAGGAGAAATGAGAGACTATCAAGACGCAGTTTCATGCCAGTACACTCTTATTCTCAAAAGGGACAGACTTAAGACAAATTGCTCAAAAAGAGATGAAAATGTGCAATAATATAGACATATGAGCTCATCAAACCCAATTGTTAGAAAGAGCATAACTTGAAGTCTAACAACTTAGAAGGATGTGCCATTAGTTGTATCATTTTCATCTAAGTAAACTAGAGCCAGTTCATTGTGGGTGACTGTTGACTTTCATCTTGTTCTTTCTAATTCCTGATTTAGACCTTCACCAGATGAGGCCCTGCAGTGGCGCGATTCTCTGGACAAGCTCCTTCAGAACAACTGTGAGTTCACACTGTCTTTTATAGGGAGGTAGGGGTTAGCCTACCTCACTCTACTCCATGAAGTTGGTGGTTTGAACCCATCCAGCCACTCCAGGTGACAAAGATTTGGCAATCTGGTTTTGTAAAGGTTATAAACCTAGAAAACCCTATGGGGTAGTTCTACTCTGTCACATGGGGTCTCTATGAATCGAAAATGGACTCAATGGCACCTAACAACAAAAGAGATGTTGTGAATCTGTATCCACTCAATGGCAATAGTATGGGAAGAATAGAGAAAACAATCTCCGTTGCCCAATTGTCCTCCTTCCTCAACTTTGACATTACTCCAAATTTTCAAAGTGTTCTAAATGAAGCCTGGTGAGTTCAGGATGTCAAGAGTGAATATTAGCTCTCAAAAAAAGGAAGGTGCACTGCACCGTGGGAGAATGCGAAATTAAGTGTCCTAAGGGATCACGATTGCAGAGTGTATTCCCAACTGTCCTGTGTAGTAGCGTGAGCCAGGGCAAGTAACTTGGTATTTTGTCATAGTTTCCTCAGTGGAGCAGGGATATTGCTTTTCTGGTTTAGCCTCATCAAGGATTGATAATGGCCAGATATAATAATATAAGGAGTCTTGGTGTGATGCTGGGGGCAAGTCCGGGGCACTTAACAACAACAACAACAACATGGTGATATAAAAAGCAGTGAAGTATGAGTCATAGTCCTCGTTCAGACTGCTATTACTGCTATTAATTACTCTTCTGATCAGACACGGGCTGCTATAGACTGACTCTGGTGGCCGCAAGCCTTTATCATCTTCATTCTAGATAGGATTTCTATAGGTTAATCCCTTTGCCTGAAATAGCTTTCACTCATATATCTATCGGTTGAAATTCTCTCTCTCCTATAAAAGCTAATCTAAACATTAAATGTCTAGTATTCCTTGACTACCCAGAATGATTTATTCTCCCTCTGAATTTCCAGAACCATTTACCTGCACATCTTTTATGCCACTTAATACTTCCCACATTGAGTTTGTCTCCGTCCTTTCTCTTCTACTGTAGATTTGAAACTCTTTAAGAGGAGATAGAGTCTTTTTCATCTGGATAATCCCACAACAGGATGTGCATAGTATAGCGAAAACAAGTATTCTTAAATAATTCTCTCTAAAAGGATCATTACATTTAAAATAGACAATCCATATTTATTCTCATGAAATATGATTTATTCTCATTAAATATGAAACTTCGTTAGAGGCTTTGCAAAAATGAGCATTTAAAAATATTTCTCACCAGACCATCATAATTAATGGACACAGAGTGGAAAACAAAGAGTGGATGCTAAATTGCATATAAACATATTTTTGTGTTTTGTTTTTGTGCAACATATTGAGAAGCATCTGTTTACATCTGATAGAATCAGTTTCATTTTGTATTTGTGACAGACACCAAAACCTCTAATTCAGAACTTTGTAATTTTTTTACTACCTTTTCACTTCTTATGCTTGTTTAATCTGTTTGGGTACCCTGCCCTTACATATACAAGGTGTTCAATAAAAGTTTACCAATAGAATAAATAAATGAATTAATTAATTTTGTTATTCGCACTCAGAAATTCCATGAGGTTACTTAAGGAAAAAAATCTTTTAAAATCATCTGACTTCTTTATTAAATATTACTCACTGGTTTGGGGACGATAGCAGCCTGAGTTGTTGTTATTAAGTGCCGTTGCGTCCGTTCAGACCCATAGCGACATTATGCACAGCAGAACGAAACACCGCTGGATCCTGGTAAGCTTGCAACCGCCGACCTTAAAGTTCAAACCGACATTGCGGTCCGGCGGTCTAACTCACAGCGCCACACCAGGACTCCAGCATTCTGAGAGAGGACACTAATAAATCATGAATGCTGAGGACCAAGGTGTAGGTGTTTATTGCTATTGTCAAGAACCCTGAGTATTACCAGAATTCCTTCCATATTTTCAAAACCATTAAGGAGGAGATGAATATTTATATGATTATATACAATCCTTTCCACTCATACCACTCATATCCATAGGGTTGTTGTTAAGTGCCATTGAGTTGGTACCGACCCATAGCGACATTATGCACAACAGAACGAAACACTGCCCGATCCTGGGCCAGTCTCACTACTGTTGCCACACTTGATTCCATCGATGCTGTCGCTTGGCCAATCCATCTCATGGGGGTCTTCGTCTTTTTCTCTGACTCTCCACCTACATGTTCATAATTTCAGGCTCGGAGGGTTAATGAGCTGGATTACAAAGTCAGTTTGAACTGCAAGGTCGGAGGTTCAATCTCACCATCCACTCCTCAGAAACCCTATACAGCGTCGCTAAGGGTCGGAAATTACTCTATGGCACTTAACAACAACAACAACAACACAATGAGATACAGAGTTGTTGGGATAAGAAATGTATGAACCAAAGGGAACTAGTGTTAAAATGTAAGCCTCTGTTTAGAGACTGAAATCTTTCAGTTTGAAAAGATAGGATTACTTTAGTATAAAATTGAGGCCTGAGATTCTTATAGTATGTTTTCTACTTCTTGGAGAAGAGAACTACATTATGTATGAGTGTGTGTATGTATGAATGTTGTTGTTGTT